AGCTGGCACGGCTCAGGCTTCAGCCACAATCAGGTCCCTGGTGACCTGGAAAGCTGCGATGAGGGAGCTCAGCTGAATCTTCTCGCTGGTCCCAGCAGCCAGCCGGTACCTGGAGCAGGGAGGCAAGGGCAGGTTCGGGTGTTTACACCAGCATCCGCGTCCCGACGCAGCAACAGCCCTGGCCGGGATGGATGCGCAGGGGCTGCCAGCACTTGGCACAGCGTGGTGGTGGTGACCCCCGCAGGGTGGGTGCGCTGGCAGCCCCCCAGGTGGGATGTTTTGGGGCAGGGGTGAACGGACACTTACTCGATGTCTGCCAGTTTGATCAGCAGCTGGATGCGGACCGAGGGCGGGAAATCGACTATGGAGAGAAGGAGACAACGTGCATCAGCGCAGGCTGGGGTGGGGTGGGGGGCACAGGGTTGTCCCTCCCAGGGTCAGCCAGGATCTGGCCCCGCAAGACCCCCACCTCTGTGCACAAACAGGTGGATCTCGGTGAGGATGTCCTGCAGGGCCAAACCCTTCAGCGTCTTCAGCTCCGTGATTTCTGAGGTGGGAGTGAGTGAAGGGCTTTCTTCCAGGCCTTTTCCTGCGATATCCCACTTCTCATCCCCGTGACAACCCTGAGGACCCTCCCCAGCAAGCAGCACCCAGCCCTGATTAAACCCCGGAGGGAAAAGGATACTGCGATAGGCGGTGGAAAAGTCCTCGTTTAGCATCCAGTCGAGGATGTTGGCGATGTCAGACTTGAGGGGGTGTCCTGTGCAGGTGTAGACGTTCTCCTCCGTCACCTTCCCAAAGGCCATGGCAGTGCTCTGAGGAAGAGGAGGGTGGAGGAGGGATGAAGAGCTCAGCCCTTTCTAAACCCCGGAGGGAAAAGGATACTGCGATAGGCGGTGGAAAAGTCCTCGTTTAGCATCCAGTCGAGGATGTTGGCGATGTCAGACTTGAGGGGGTGTCCTGTGCAGGTGTAGACGTTCTCCTCCGTCACCTTCCCAAAGGCCATGGCAGTGCTCTGAGGAAGAGGAGGGTGGAGGAGGGATGAAGAGCTCAGCCCTTTCTCCTCCGACCCTTCCAGGGCACCTGCCTGCATGGGGCCGACCACTGCCGGCGTGCACGAGGGGACAGCGACCGCGGTCTGTACCTGCAGGATATTGAGGGCTCTGCGCATGTCACCGCTGGAGAGGGTCACCAGAGCCTTCATCCCATCCTCTGTCACATCCACCCTGGAAGACAAGACCTGGGGCTACAGAGGGAGCCAGTGCTGCCAGAGAGAAATATAACCACGGAAAACCAAACCTGCTGCTTCTTTCTGCAGAGGGGAGTGGGGAAAAAAACGGTGCGGGGATGCCGTGGAACCCCCCGCGTCCCACGCCGGCCCCCAGCTCACCCTTCCTCCTGGATGACGTGCTGCAGCCGGGGCACCATCAGCTCCGGGGTGAGGGGGCCGAAGCGGAAGCGCGTGCAGCGGGACTGCAAGGCGGGGAGGGTCTTGGAGAGGTAG